TATTTAAGTAGTTTAAGTTAGTTTAGTTAAAGAATATTAGTTATCCTTCAGACCCTTGTCCACATATTGGTGTGACAGTATAATTAGTTTTTATTTATTTATTAATGTAATACAAATTATGTAATCAATAATGTAGATCATAGTGGTCCAGTTACTAGCCAAGTTACTAATCAATTTAGTGACCAACTGATTGACCAACTTAGTGGTCAACTAATTGATACATTTACTGGTCAAGATTTAGACCAACTTACTGATCAACTTACTGGCCAAATTAAATATTATAAAAAGGATAAGTTTTCTCTTCACTTCAAGACAGATTCAATTAGTTTCAAATTAGATCCAAATAGTTCTAAATAGTAAAATTTAGAAAGTAATCTCAACTGTAATTAATTCTATAATTGAATTAATATTTTTAGAATCCTAAAATAACTGGATTATTGATTTTCTTCATAATAAACTTATATTTTCTATATTAAAACTCTGTTATTCTTTTACTAATTTATATTTGAAGAATATAAATTCTGATTCATAAAATCATGTTATTATTTTATAAACTATTGATAAACATACTTAACTTTGTGCCTTAATTTCTTAAATTAACTTTTAAAATTTAACCATTAATTAATAATTAAAGTCCCATGATCATAAATTCTTAAGTCTTTTGATTAGTTTTAATATTTAACTTAACTTAAAATATTCTTTTATTCTTTTTAAATTATCTTCTTCAATTCATAAACTAAAATAACTGTTTATGAGTTGCTAGTTGTAAATTGCCTTTTGAAAAATAAAATTAGTTCAAAAGGTTGACTAGTAACAGTATTGTGAAAAACTCATATATGGGAAGCCTTTTCACAAAGTATTTTAAGAGGACATTGGTGTTCACTATGTTCATGTTTTAAATATGAAAATTTATGTTGTGAAATTATATCAAAATATTTAAGGGGACCATCAAAAAATCACAAACTTGATTTTCTAAAAACATCAGAATATTCTACAGGATTGCAACTTAATATTCCTTATTATCATTATGGTTTTACAATTGAAGTGCAAGGTCAACAGTATGAAAAATATATCAAATTCTTTTACGAAGAAGATATAAAAAATTTTACCAATCAACAATGTCGAGATCAAATTAAAAAGGAACCTTGTGAAGAGAATTGGATCATGTTAAGATATATTTGATATTATGAAGATCCATATAAAGTAATTCCTGATATCCTTCAAGAACTGGGTCTTATAGAATAAAGATAAAACTTTAAATGCTTATCTAAATTATTATTTTTTCAGTATAATATTTAATATTACTTAGTGTAATTGGAATGAATGAAGAAAAAATGTCCATATATACTGTATATACCAACTGGACAAGATGATATCCAACAAATCTTTAAAACAAATGAAATCTAATAAATATACTTTCAACTGGCCATTCAGATTACTAGTTTGTGGAGACTCTCATAGTGAAAAAACAAATATGGTTATTAATCTTATGCTGGGTAACAAACTTCCACATATGCTCAAAGAAAGAAAAGATAAGTGATATATTAGAAATGATGATCTTGTATTAATAGGAAAACATTTGAGCCAAAATGGAGACTAGCTAAAAATTCTTTTCAGATTTTTGTGAATGGGTCAAAACCATATCGATAGGATGTTACATTTAAAATGATAACACCAGATAAGATTCCAGATATAACTAAATTCTCTCCAGAATGAAGTATAGTTGCTGTATTTGAGGATTTGTGTGCTGAGCCAAAGAAAGTTCAAGAATGAATTATTCCTTACTTCATTAGTGACCAGCATCAAAATATCTTGCCAATATATGTGTCACAGAAATATACACAAACACCAAAAATTATTTTTAAAAATATCTCACATCTAGCCTTATTCTGGGGCAGTGGAAGCCAAGAAGATATATGCAAAATCATACATCAATATACAGATGATCCAAAAAAAAGTATCCAAGATAATTGATAAGTATTTGCAAGATCGAAATTTTATAGTCTTTGATTTCACTAAGACAATTGATGATCCTCTCACAATTAGATTAAGTTGGGACACACCCTTAAAATTGGATAAATAGGTTCAAAACAAAAATCACATATTTACAATTTGTAACGTCAAGAATAAATAAATCATGAATTATGGATCTTTGTGTTGTGAAATGTTCGCTTATGAAGTCTATTTGTGTCACGGTTGCCTTACATTGACATACATACATACAGAAAAGATAGCTCTTTATTGTTTTTTCAAAGAAATACAAAGTAACATACTTTTATTGATCTGCAATGTCATTTCTAATATTGTTAATTTTAAACTTATCACGTTTAACCAAAGTATATTATTATATAAGATTTAATTGACAGAACTAGTACGAAGTTCAAAGTAAAATGTGCAGTGCAAGTTACAACTACATATTGATAAGAAAAAAATTATTTGAATTTATTTTTTTTCTGCTTTTTATGTCGATTCGGTGATGACTGGTTTTGCTTTATTGAATGTACTCTTCGCTTGGTCAGCAACTTTTGGTTTTGTTCAACGTACGAATTTCTCACTTCAATATTTTCTTTCATGAAAGACTGAGAATAGACCAGTATTAGCAAAGAGCGGTGAATAAAATGAACAAAACTTTGTTATACTCAAAAAATTTCAAACATGTAATAATTGCTTCAGAAAAAACAAAAAGATCTTGTCAAGCTGTAGGGATCTTGAAGGTTCCATATTCACGAAGACAATATGACTTCTGATGTATTGTCATCCAAAATAAAGATACTTCAGTGCGATGGCCAAAGGCACTGAAACTTGCAAGATTTTTGTGATCACACATTCCATCTTTAAGGTGAAAAATTATTCACTGGTTCAACACGTCTTGCATTGTTCTAGCCAATTTATAATTGTGAACGTGAAACTGAGTGATATCATCAAAATTAGGGGATCCTGTCTGCTCATACAAGAATACTTATTTGTGACTTCTCCAGAGACAAGCGAGCCCATCTGTGCACTTTGCTCCTAAAACTGTATCAATGATTGGATTTAGACCTGTATTACGACGAGCTTTGCTACTTTCTACTGAAATTTCAAGACTATAAAAGTGTAATTTCAAAAGTTAATTACAGCAAATGAATACTTTCCCAGGGTGCATAATCGGGACTTACATTCTCCAGTCAATGCTACAAACATTGTATTCTCTAATATCGGACTTATGAATCGTGCGTTGTACTGATTTTCTCGGAAGTCACTTAACTTTAATATGCTGAACGGTGCTTCGAATGCTTTGATACTAAAAAGAACCCAAATAATAATATTATAATATCTTGCATATAACGGGATAAAAGGGTCATAAGGAAACATACTATGGTCCAAGAATATTGTAGATAGCATCTACTAGGCCTTTTTTGTTTTCATCAATTTCTTTATGAAGTCCATTCTAGGCCTTTGCCCATTCTTCTAAACTATCTTTCGGCTGTTTTTTGACATCAATAGACAAAATAAGTAACGAAGATAAGCAAACTAAAAACGGATTTGAGACATACCTTGAAAAATTCTTGTATAAACTTTTTTCAATCTTCAGGTATATTATGTCTGGGATATGTACCTAGTACAAATTTATCCCAACATTCTTCCGAAATTTCATCCGTGAAGCGTGAAGTTGGTCTCATGTCCATAATTGCGCTATGACATAAACTAATAACCATTATTGATGAAAAGACTACTATTTCGAGTTACAAAAGATGATCTTACTCACTCAAAGTTATTTCCGCATTCATTAAAAATTCCAACAGGTCAATTTTGTCTACTATTAATGGAGTTCTTTCTACTCTCCCAACCATTGATTCAGATGCTTCTCTAAAACCATTCTCCGAATCTGAGTTAATTCGAATAATTGTATCAGTAATGTAGTGAAATTTTAGCAAAAACAATTCATTTAGTAATATATTATAGATATAGTGCCTTTTTCATCTTGAGGTCAGTGTTCATCTTCTCGATTTTTCTTGTTCATATTTTCATTTTGTTTTATGTCAGCTTCACTATTTTCATCGATAGACGGTGTAGAGGAGCCTTTAATCTATTAGCAAGATAGGAAAAGGTGAGAAGATATTTCATGGTTAAATGACATTTACAAATTTCATACTGACTTTTTTGATACCTTCGGGAACTGTGACGTTATATACACGTTTTCTTGGGTTCATCTATAAAATAATATATAAGGGTAAACAATTGCTATTTTGTTTTCATCCTTCTATTAATTCCATGATTACAATAATATATTTATACCAGTCTAGTATTGACATTCTCAATGGTGGAACAAGCATTTTCGATGGCAGTATCAACAACTTTTATGGTGTTATGCATTATTGATCCAGAAGCTCTTCCTGCCATCATGAAAAATTTATACAGTCAATACGGCATAAGTTTGATTAGAAAGATAGTTAATAAAAATCTCAATTTCATGCAGTTTCTTGTGTAGTTCAATTTTCTTCCAAAACTTGTCAATGTCACTAGAGTATTCCCGATGTCCCTGTAATTCACATGAAATTAGTATCGTATAAATAAGTACTACTAAAGGCATGGCTACGGGCAAGCACAACAGGCAAGCAGACCATAAAGTCGACAGCAAGCAGGTGTCCACCGTAGTTGTGAGGGTTTTCCTTTTTCCACAGCGGCCAATCAGACCGTAAGGTGGACAGCAAGCAGGTACCCACCATAGCTGTGGAAGCCTCCCTTTGCCAGCTAGCCATGCAGAAAACGATGATAGAAAAAACTTTGCCTTAAAACTTTTGTTAAGTAGACTAGCACCCTCCATTTTGTCCGGACCGTTTGTTATTAGAATACTAAGATCCTTTTTCAGTTTGTCGGATTCTTTACGAAAAGAAAAGGTAAAGTCAGATTGTTGTAATCGATACTCGTAGAAGTCCAGAAAACGATAAACTTCAGGACGTGTTTCTTCGAAATAGGTACTCCAAGCACAAGACATATTTAATAAAAAGTGTTCTATGCCGAAGTTAGATTATAGAGATCTCAAATTGTTACACACATCAAATTTCGTGTCCGTTTGACACAGTGATATGACGCAGTAGTAATTCGGATAAAATCTAAAATAGACCTCGCAAGAAAGTACTATTAAAGAGCTTATAGTTTTTGACCCTTTCCCTCTTCTTTTGCAAAGCATCAGAAAATTTGTTTCAGGAATTTCCCTTCTAACCTCAACTTTAACAAGCACATGAGCCTCTTGCAAATAGTCCCAAACCATATTGTGAAGATGTTACATTCTGAGCAATAAAATATCAAAGATAGAAGAATTTTCTCCTGAGAGAGGAACAGTTGCTATATTTGAAGATGTATGTATCGAATCTAAAAAAATACAAGAAAAAATTGCTCATTACTTCACTGAACACTAGTCAAAATTTGGCATATTGGATACCTATTATGGTGTCTGACAGGTACCCGATATATATTTTTTGACATATATCAGGTACCCAATAAGTGTCATCTTATTTCCTAATATCGAACACTTATTGGAAACTTATTGGTCACATATACTTGCATGCAAAATTATTTTGGGGTCCCGAAATTGCAATTTTGGGAAAAAAAGTTGGAATAGTTTTTTATAAAAGACAAAATTATTTTACTTAAAACCTGAAATTTTTTGACCATCCAGATTTATTTTTTTATTCTTTGATTAAATATACATATAACTGGATACTTTTTTATTTCCATATATAGTGAAGTGACACAAAGGTAACCAATGTCACAGGGGATAAGAGAAGATGACCGTATTACTATTTGGATGAATTATCTTTGTACTTCGCATATCATCCTTCATCCAAGATGAAAGATGATATCCTCGTGTTTATAGATAATGATGAATGAAGATAAACAAAGGGAAAAATATAAAATAACTGTGTAATGAGAGAAGAAACAAGAGATTTTTTTCCTTTTGCAAAACTTTTAAAATTTATATAATATTTTACCTTAACAACAATATTTTCTTTTATATATTTTTTTTTTTTTAATAACAAATAATTTTGTAATAAATCTAATAATTCATAATTACTTTTCTTATATTTTTATAATAAATAATTCCTCAAATAATACTAGTAATGATAAATACAAATAGTTTTGAAATAGTCTTAATAATAATAAATAATTTTTGTAATAGTTTTAATTTTTAATAGTAATAAATAATTTCATATATTGGAATAACAATAGAGATAAGACACGCCAATGCAGTGATATATCTCTATTGATATATTTTTGTAATAAATTTTCATAATTCTTTTAATAAACTGTTCTATACTTCTTGGCAAGTTACTCCAAAAAGTCTGTTAAATTTTGATAGTGTACAAAGTATATAGTAAAGATACTTTTACTCCACTTGCTTATTGTACCTTCAGATATTACATGTAATTATATTATTTGAGCGTTAGTAAGCAGGTTTAGATCAACTGATTGCCTGTCTTGCTGTGATATTGTATACAAGAGATAGTGTGTTAGTAATACATTGAATTATTATGTAATTGACCTAAATTTATTGAAACTGATTGACTTAACTTTTCACTTGTTCTACGCAGACTGCAACAGAATCACTGGTCGAAAATTGATAAATAATACACATATCGGATACCCGATATATGCATGGTACGTCCCTAATATCGGGTATATATTGGATATTCAATATGTATAGAAAATATTTTATATATGCCTGATATTAGGGACGTACCATGCACATATTGAATACCTGATAGGTATATTATTTATCAATTTTCGACCAGTGAATTTTGGTACCTCCTGTGAGGTTAGCATAAAGTATCTTTATTACATTTTTAAGTAAATCCATTTTACGGATTTACAAAAATCCTCAACTTATATAATTAGAATTTTATTTCAAAGATCCTTTTCTTTCTTTTATCAAAATCTAAAGACTATTTACTTGAAGCAAAAATAAATTGTTACCGAAAATAGGACAAACTTTAGATTTTTCAGCTTTCAGTAAAAAAATAGTAATTAAAAAACAGTTCTTAGTATAATAAAATATCATTAAATCAACAGATTTACAGTAAAAGTTAATCTGATAGAAATTTGTGTAACAAGATGAAAATATAGAAATTCAGAAATACTTTCTTTGATATCTTTAATGAACAATAGCCAACTTGTCAAACCTAAGAGTAACCAAGTGAATAACTAGGGGAATGAGCCGAATTGCTGAAGGAAACGAAATTAACGATCTGATAAGAGGACTATAAGATGCCTTCCGCATAAGAAATGACGTGAGGATGTCATCATTTTGCGGAGGAAACTAAGACCCTATGGAATGGTTAGAGGAGTTTAACAGGTTCGCGAAGATAAACCAATATAATGATGAATACAAACTTCGCGTAGTCAGTGGATATTTACAGGGACCAGCTATACGTGCCACCCAAATTCAAAATCCAAATGCCAAAATCCCAAATGCCAAAATCCCAAATCCCAAATTTCAAATTATGATTAGTATTTTTTGTCAAAATCCCAAATCCCAAATCCCAAATACTAGTAATTTGGAATTTTGGCGTCCCAAATCCCAAATCCCAAATACTAGTAATTTGGAATTTTGGCATCCCAAATCCCAAATGATTTGGGATTTAGGTAACACATATAGGACCAGCTGGTCAATAGTTTAACGAAACTCAAGAAAGGCGAAATCCCATCACACACTAGAATAACTGAGATCATGTATCATTCGAACCCTCTTTTCTGATCACCTTCAAAACCACTGCTTTAATAAACCAGTGGAGCTTTGAGTTACAAATGAAGATACAAAAGCTGAACGAAACTGTAGGGCAATATACCAATGATATTAAAAGGCTGATTAAAAGAATCAATGGTGAAAATTGGTAGAGCGAGGATGAGAAGGTCTGATAGTTTTTAAAGAGATTACAAAAGGATGTTGCCTATTAGGCATGACCTCTTATCTTATTTCAAGAAAATCCTACACTAGAAACAGTGATCAGAATTACAAGGCAATTTGAAGAGAATATTCAGACCTATCCTGAAATCATAGCTGGCTATGGCATCATCACTCTTACAGGCATGTCAGGATTTCCATCTGTACACTATAAGTATAACAAAAAGAAAGATAGAATAGAGTAGATAGTTCAGAAAGCTCTAGTTCCAATAACTGAAATGTTACAGAGAATTACGGAGAAGGAAAATAGGATGGCGAACACATATTATAGATGATCAAATTACAATAAAAACAGGAAACAAAATATGAGAAATCATAACAATGTTAATAATCTGTTCCACTGTTATACTTGCAACCAGACGGGACATATGTCACGAATATATCTCATGAGATCAGGACACCAAAGAAATCCTAACACTTTTCCTATCTAAGGACCAACTAGAACCCAAATTAACACCATAACAAATTAACTCACACCTCAAGTACCCCAAAGCAGTATGAATAGCAGCACATTCATAATCCAGAAAGAGGAAGTTGGACAACCTATCGCAACTAACTAGAAAGAGTTACAACATTTAAACTACTAGTCACACCTCTGGAGAGTGAGTGTATGAATGAAACAAATCTCTCGTTTAAAACTGGTGGAGGAGAAGTAGCAGAAGGCTTTAGATTCGTGGGTAAATCAACGATTCAACTCATCGGCAAGAGATTATGTTCAGGAAAAGGTAAAGGAGTACCCAAAGAGCCTAAACAAAAGAAGAAGAAGGTACCCCCTGTTCAATAGTCATATATGACGCAGAACGCTCCACTCTATTCTATTGTCTCTAACCTGTTATTAACGAAGGCTAACATATACGTGTTGCCCAAATCCCAAATCATTTGGGATTTGGGACGCCAAAATCCCAAATTACTAGTATTTGGGATTT